TGGCTTTTGCTGGCTGCGTCCGGGTGTCTCCGTTTCCGCTTGAGCAGCGAGCTGTGCGTTAGCTTTGATGCATCTACTGGGTTGTGACTTTTTTTTTTCTTAATTATTTTTTTGAACGAGGAGCTGGAGTTAGATTATAAATATGCCTCTCCCCCCCTCTTTTCCCCTCCACCCCAGACGGCTTTTGGGAATGTGTCTTTCCTACGGTAGTGATGCTCTGGCCCAGGGCAGGACTCGGGAGCCTGCAGGATGCACTGCAGCCATCGTGGTCCTCGGGCAGGGATATTCCCTGCAAGGCAGCGGTGCCGTAGTTAGCCCTGAGTCCAATAGGTGGGTACGGCCTTCTGGTGCTGCCGTTTGGTAATGGTGACAGGGAAAGAAAATCAGGGCTGTAAAATGCTCGTAGCTGTAACACAGGGCTGCGTTGCCCTTCCCCACTAAAATGGGACAGCTCTGCCACATTGTACAAAATCAGGCTGCGCACGCTTGAGCGTAGTAACTGAAAACCACTGAATATATTGAATAAATCTTTTGGTTTGGTGCACATGCTGGTCATTCAGAAATTGAAGTCTAGACTGTGGTATGTAAGTATTTTTCAAGCTTATGTGAAACACTGGTACTCGCTGACAGCCACGACTCCTGGTTTTTGGCTGCGTGCTGTGTGGGGATGAGTTAGTTCTATCAAGAGCTGGATTTCTTGATAAAAGTCGCTGTGGCCCCAGCAGCTGTGTTGTGTGCTCCCCCGTATGTTGTGTTGCTGTGGGGTCACATACGACTCAGCTGTGCCCTGCTCACTCTTCACCCCGTGTTTCCTTAGGCTACAGCCCTCCTCTGAGTTTGCCCACCCTTTGAGCAGAAGCGTGCTGACGCTGCAATGGGGACATCTCTAGGAGACACGGACCGCCAGGTGGGGGTGAACTGGAGATGTCTTTGCCTGTTTGCACATCATGGAACGTGTGGCCGTGACGTTTTACAGGGGATCGATGGCAGAGGACAGAGACAGCAATTAGAGGCAGGATTTGGTGTGAACTAGGTGGAGTGAGATGGACAGAAGTTGTTGCCCAGTCTGATGACGGTGTCTTGTGTGACGCTGGGCCGGCGGTGGCTTCTCTGGGCGGGTGGATGGGATACCTACCAGTTCTCACTTTGCCAAAGCCATGCAACAAGCAGGAACATGCAGAGTACCATGAAGTTCTTCCTTACTGCTTTTGGCCTATAAAGCAATATTTAACTCTTGCAACCTGTAAAAGCAAAAAGAAGGTACCTAAGGAAAGCACAAAGCACAAAATAATGCACTTACATTTATGTTGTTTGACATAAAATGCACTGGGGGGGAAGCTGATGTTGATAATAGTATAAATACCTATATTTCTTGAAAAAGTGACATTAATTACTGCCTCTTGCTATGATGCTTGGTACTGTAATGTTGATATTCATCTGCTGTTGACTGCAGCAATAATTCGTGTATGGTCCATAGCACTGTAAATTATGGATCAATATTAATGTATCCAATGAAATAATTTGAACTGTTGTTCTTGATAGATGGATTAAAGCATTTGGTTTTTCACATACGTCTGTGTAAGCCACTCGTTTCCGTGTAAGTGAATCTTGTTTTTCTGTGCAGTGGAAGTCCCAGCAGTGCTCCTGTGTTTGTGACTTGGTAGTGGATGTGTCCACATTCCTGACCTGGTGTCGCTCAGAGCTGTCCAGTTGTGTTTGTTTTGCAGTAGCATCAGGGGGACAGAGCTATGGATTGGGCCCCTCTTGGGCTTTGCCGATACCCACCAAAGCGAGTAGACCCAAAGCTTACGGTCCAGCGTGAGGAACAAAACAGGTGGCCATGGAAAAATGTCACTGCCTCTCTCCCCTCCAGTGGGCTCTTGCCCTTTCGCCTCTCTCCCTTCTCAAAGGGGTCTCTGCCAAAACCACCCCGGGCTGTGTTGCCTATCGCCTCCCACTGGTGCCCTGTGTCAGGCGTGGGCTCAGTGAGACCTTGGGTACCTGCTCATCTTTGCCCTGCTGTCACTCCTGCACGGGCACATACCCCCAGCAGTCCTACACAGGAGCGCCTCACCACCTTCTCTAGCTGACCTGCGTGCGGAGAGGTCCCAGTCCCGGCTCTGCTCGTCCCTGGGTCCCTCCTGAACCCTCCACTCACCCAGCATGCCAACATCTGCTCCAGGGTTGTGCTGGGACCTGCAGCCGGTGCCGGGTAGGAACCAGCTGGGGTCTTGTTTTGTCTTCATTATTTTTCCCTGTCTCTCTGTTGCTTTCATCCCTTCTGGTGGTGTTCCGTGACAGGCTGTCGCTTAATGTGCTCACAGCGTGGAGTCCTCGCCGTCCCTTGTGGACATTGCTGCAGCAGCAGTGGTGGTCAGTGCGCATCATCTCATGGGTTTTGAGCCCTGAATACAAACGAGAAGTTTTGAATTTGGCCTGTCTTGAAGATTTGACACCAATGAGGAGTAGAAAATATTTAATTCAGTTGCAATTACAAATTACCAGCTGTCCTGCATCACTCCGTTTAAAAACCAACCAAACAAAAAACGCTGCGCAAAGCTACTTGACTCCAGTAGGAGTACAGTAGAAAAGCCCTGCTCCTTCTTTGTAGAAGACAATGAAGATTGTGGGTGTTTCCAGCAGGCTTCGTAATGCTATTTCTTTAGAAATCCACGGTATTGGAATGCAGCATTGTAGTATTGAAACAGGAAATCTATTTATCAGCAGTTAGGATATCATTTCTAATATAAGTTTTGAGTTTTTAGATGTATTTTGGCTTTCCTGTTGGTGGCCTGTTGTGCTCGCGCTGTTTTTTTGGGAGTGCGTTTCTTGCTGTCGGTGGGAGCAGCTCCAGGTTTTGGCTGAATTGCAGAACTGGGGAGGAGCAGGGAGAAAATCCGTCGTGGGGGTAACGGCTGTAAAGCGTTCGCTGAGTGTGCATCACCAAAGAGGTGGTAGCGGGTCTGCTCAGGAGCCTTTTAGCTCTTGTGGGCAAGTCTGAAAAATCCTCTGTGGGGTCAGAAAGTGGATGTTAAAAATAAGGCTGCCGACGCCTGGTGGGGGCTGGTTTGCCGGCGAGCCCCGTGGCCGGGCTGCGGGATGCCGTGGGGGCTCGGCTGCGCGGTGCGGTGGGACGGCAGGACCCTGCCACCGTGTCCTGCTTTCCTCCCCAAGCGACACAGCGGGGGGCTGCGCACGTCCCCGGGCCGGGAAGGGGACG